ATTAAGGAAAAAAAAATATATTTCATTAAAAAACTGGTTTATTATTATTTTATTATACATTCCATATTCTATTACTTATCATTATACTCTCAATATGTGATGGACCCTGACAACTCCCCATTTGTTCATTAGATAAAATGTTCCTGCACATGTATCATATATAACCTACACCATACTTTTGTCATCACGTGTCATCTTTTTTATGAAAATACGTTCATTTCTGGTTACAGATTTTTATCAAATGAGTATAAGTTATCATGCTTTATAGTGAAAAAATAGTGTTGCTTTCCATGTTATTAGTCCACTGGTGGTGCCCTTGGCACCATTGCAGATATCACTGAGTGAAATTCACCTTAATTAACTTGTAGTATCCATACCAGCCTTGTGAAAACTGTTTCTAATCAAGTGTACACTGAACATAGTACCCATTTGCACCTCTAATTACTGTGTGACCAACTGTTAGTTTTAACACCTGTACATATTGAAACTATGAGTTTCTCAAAGGAATAAATGTATATTACTCAAAACTAACGTTTTCTTTTGACGTAACTAAACCTTTAGTTCCATGCTTACTAAATCAGTGCTTTAGAAACACTTATCAAGTAGCTATGCTTTGGTTTGTGATGATTGTGTCTCTGATATATTAGAAAAACAGAGGTCTGCAGTCTGTTTGTTATGTAAAATTACAATTGTATTTAAGCCACTTACAAAAGAAAATGAATGTCACTGACCTTTAGTCCTTCTTGCTAGCCAAACTGCCTAGAATTGTCAGGAAAGCATAATAAGTGCTTTAGGAAAGTTGATAATATTAAGTTTCTGTGTTATCTTTCTTGTCAGAATTTGACAAGTTGGTTAAAGACAGTAAAGACGAAGCTGATGATGCACTAAAGAAGGCTCCAGAAATTGAGAGGTTGATTGAGGAAGCTGAGGAGAAGACAAAAGATGCAGAGGATGCTCTTAGTGGAGCTGGAAAGAATGCTATGTTTGCTAGAGATATAGCTCGAGAAGCTCAGAAAATAGCTGAGCAAGCTTCAGATGTTAGTACCTCTTTTCTTTTCAATATCTAACATGTGATACTTTAATAACCAGTATAGTCCTGCAAAACATAAAATAAATTTACACTTCATAAAACTATTTCAATTTAAGGTTTCAATTTTTAGGACCAAATGTTTCCTATTAAAATAGTTTTAACATGGTGTAAGTCATGATGCGACAAGAGTTATCTGTTGTGAATTGGGCAGTTGAGTTATTTGGAGACACTGATCAGATGTGGAAAATTTTTAAAGATAAATTTTTAAATATTCTATGTAAACATATTCCTAATAGAAAGAAAAGGGTAGCTACAAGTAAAAAACCAGGTTGGTTCACAAAGAGTTTAAGAAATAAAATTAAAGAAAAGCTTAATAAATTTAAGAAATTTAAATTGACTGGTATGACAGGAGACTTAGAAGATTATAGAAGTTGGTGAAACAGGAAATTAGGACATCAAAAAGGATGTATGAGAAAAAGTTGGCTGAAAATGTAAAAATTAACAGTAAGGATTCCTTTAAATACATTAACGGGTACAAAATATTAGGATAGGGATAGGACCCTTGAAGGATGATAAAGGAAGGCTAGAATCTGATGATTATGAGATGGCTGGGTTATAAAGTTTTATTTTTTCTTCCGTTTTTACTAATGAAAATTTAAGCAGTATTCCACATCTTGATCAATGGAAATGAGATCAAACAAGATGACTGCATTAATTCTGAGCTGGTTAAGAAAAAAATGATAAGGCTCCTGGGCCAGATAATATTTCCCCAAAGGTTTTGAAGGAGGTTAAAGATTGGATATGTGAGCCATTTGCTACTATTTTCTGTCAGTCCTTGAATAGTGTGAAGGTACCAGAAGACTGGAAGTTAGCTAATGTAACTCCTCTTTTCAAGAGATGTGATAAAAATTGTCCCAGTAATTATAGACCCATTAGTCTACATCAGTTGTGGGAAAAATTTTGGAAAGTCTGTAAAAAGATGCTTTGCAAAGTCATTTAACAAAGTTTAGAATTTTATTGGATAGTCAACATGGTTTCACTAAGGGAAAAATCTTGCCTTACAAATATTTTAACATTCTTTGAAAAGGTTATTGCTTATGCAGATGAGGGTAAGGGTGTAGATTTTGTGTATCTGGATTTTCAGAAAGCATTTGGCAAAAAGGCTTTTAAAAAGAATTATCTCTATCGGTGTGGTGGGATAAGTTAGGGAACTGGATAGAAGAGTAGCTGGATGGAAGAAATAGAGGGTTGTTACAAATGGAGTTCAGTCAAACTGGATTAATGTCATAAGTGGGGTACCTCAGGGCTCAATCTTCGGACCTTTGCTCTTTTTGATTTACATCAATGACATAGACGAAGGAATGGTCAATAAATTACTTAAATTTGCAGATGACATTAAGGTCTTTGGTGTTGCTGGCTGTGAGGATGCTGCTGCTTTACAGAAGGATTTATATCATTTAGTAAATTAGGCAAATAAATGGCAAATGGGTTTTAATTATAATAAATGCAAGATAATAGATGTGGGTTATCATAATTTGAATATAAGTTTAATTTGATGGGAATAACCTTAATAGTGTTATGAAGGAAAGGGATCTTGTTGTAATAATCGATTAGTTTCTAAAGCAATCCAAGCAGTGTGATGTTGCTAATGGGAGGGCAAATAAGATTTTAGGTTGTAT